CCTCCGTGACCGATGGAGAAAGCTGTTTGCGCATGCACGCCGTCGCGTGCAGTGCCTCCGTGTGGTGCCTCATTGGGATCATAACCTGTTAGATGTTAAACAAAAGGTCAACAATAGCACAAACAATTTAGATGCAAAAGAAAAAGTGATATTTGTCTTGATATTCCCAAGCTAGCTTGAAATCTATATAATAGGATATATTATATAATGAAACCTCAAACAGGTGTTCGGCGTAAACATTATTATCCACAATCAATCTGTACCAGATTACTGGATCATCATCTTGAAGCTTGCCTTCCAACAGCTACGTCACCGAGATGCTCCACATCCTCTCTACTATATACAGCTTTACTTTGCCTTCCTCTCGAAAAACTACGGGAATGTGATCATTTACACTGTTTGCTTGCAGCGTAAGCTGCATTGGTGCCCCATGAGATGCACATGCTCTTTGCATTTTTCTACCTACATCACGATGACTGGACTAAAAAGATGCCCAAGCTTGTTGCGTGTAAGCCAACGTTATAGAAGTGGTGCCTTCCTTAAATTGGAGGTGTCCAGCTAGCCTCAGGTCTATCTGAATAAGAATCGAGCTGCATGGTCTTGCATCCGACAATGCAGCTCGATTCATATAAAACTGTCTTATACCAAATAATCCTTAAATTATCCACGAGGCAAGCTTACAATTGGAGTAGGTGTTTTCAACTTCAGAGTGTCCATCGTAGCAACTTGTAACTGAAAAGACTAGAATACTGTCCAATCTTTACTATTTCCATACGAGTAGCGAGTGCCACTGAAGTTAACAAGCCACTGAAATTAACAAGCCACGAAGTTTACAACTTGGAGTCGACTGTGACGCGCGATTTCTTCTCCATCTTCTTGGACCAGACCTCGAGCGTTTCACGGGGCATCATGGGTTTCTTGTACAGGTAGTGTCCTCCATCTACAATCAAGATACTTCCCGACACAAAGTTCCCCACGGGCGACACCAAGTACAGCACTGCAGCTGCAATGTCCGTCTTAAACCCAACGCGGCCCACTGGGATCGTGTTGGCTATAGATTTCTCCCTCTCTTCAGGGTCAATGTTCCCTGCCAGCTTTGCCGTACCCGTTGTGTTCGCAATTGGACCCGGTGCAACACCCATGACACGAATCCCAAAATGCCCCCACTCCAAAGCCAGTGAACGGGTAATGCTGTCTACCGCCGCTTTCGCAGCCGAAGCGTGCACCTGGTACCACGTCGCTGGAAGTTGCAGCGTAGCCGTAATATTAACAATGCGTCCGTCCCCACTTGTCTTTAAACATTCAAAGGCCGCACGACTCATATTAAATGTGCCAATGGTGTCAATTTCCATCACAGTACGGAAGGCATTTGTCGACATCTTCTCGGCCAGTGCCAAGAAATTACCAGCCGCCGAGTTGACGAGCACATCGAGTTTGCCGAAACGGTCCACAACCTGCTGCACGCAATTGTCTGCGCTCTCGGTGGAGCGTACGTCTCCCTGTACAAACATACAGGCATCATCAGACACGCCACATTTGCGCATGATGTCCATTGTGTTCTGTAGAGCGGTCTCTCGACGGCCAAAGATTGCGACTTTGGCACCGTATTCAGCTAATTTTAGTGCAATTTCTTGACCAATACCGGAACCACCACCTGTTACAAGGGCAACACGGCCAGCGCAAGCATCGCGGCGGAAGACTCGATTGATACTAGTCGAGTCCATTGTAGCACTGGAAGAACCCCGTAATTTATTTTAAACCCCTCCAAAACAATATGATGAATTGTAAGAATCACGGTATTATTCGACAAACGCAAGTAGTACTATCGTTTCATACTTTAACACGGTCATCGGTAACAGATCGGTCTACCGGTACGCTGTCAGGTATTATAAGTCAGCGACACGACAACACCTCATCAACTGAGCGTCTACCCTCGGTGCGTACGTTTTAGCTACAAACGTGCATATTACGCGTGTTTGATGTGCGGTCTCATTTGACATTAACCTCCTTTTCCTCGCTAAACTGTTTTATAATAGCACAAGATGAGCGTCGTCGCAGCCAAGCAACAACAAAAGACCTACACACTGGTGGACAAGAAGCCCTTCTTTAAACACTTTTACCCTAAGGATGTAGCCATTCTGGCCGTACGGTCTGCAGCCATGCAGGGTCTAATGGTTTTCAACGCATATATGGCTTCGCTGGATCTGGAGTTCTCAGACGAGGAAGATTCGAGTGAAGATGAATTCGAAGACATTGACGCTGATGGTGAGGAAAAAGAAGAGTTTGTGCCCCCTTCCATGGAGGAGTTCAGCCTTACAAGTGCCAAGTCATTCGGCAAATCGCTGAGTATCACGACGTATGTGCGCTCTCTCGAGGAGGTTGCATTGCGTTACTTTCGTCCACGAATCACCAGCAAACTCATTAAAGGTGGGCCAAATCAATTCGAACTGTTGTAAAAATCTGTCGGTGCTGGTTGTATATAAACGTTGGTATTAATGATTGTGTTATTTTGTTTGCTGCAATGGTGCTATAAAGACATCAGCAAGTCATCGATGCGTAAGTATGCACGCACGTCGAGCAAGATCACGTCGGCGGCACTGATGGTCAAAACCGGTATGCGGGCCAACATATTGAGCCATCTTGCCATTTTCTTGGTTGAAGAGGTATGTTGATTATTAAATGCGTTTTTGGTGATTATGGTTTGCCGTATATGAGGCAGCTACATGTACTGTTGTAAATCACTAACACCCGATATGATGTGGCGCATTGTGTGGAATTGCTAAATAGACCCAGCAACTCGTCATCATTCTCTACCGACACTTTGTGTCAAAGAAAAGGGGCAAAGAGCCCAAAAAGAATCTGCGCTCGATCGAAGAGGGCATACAAAGCATTGATAGTGACAATGAAGAGGACACGATGTTAGCTTTCGTGTCCGCCACGGGCCGTAATGCCTCTCGCTCTGCGCTGGCCGTCATCACGGGAGGTATCGGTGCAGCCATGGGCACGGCGGTGCGTCCAGGTATCGGCACAATGATTGGCGGTACACTAGGCGACTCTGTCGCGTACGTGTTGTTTTAGAGAAATGCTGGGCAAGGTGATGAACATAACTGCTTTATCAATACTAGACGAGACGACACAATTTTATTGTGGTCGTAACCGAAGTTTTGCTTTTTAACTTGCTACTGTATTCGACAGATACTATACTTGGTATCAACACCAAATCATATACGACTGAACACTCTTATCAATGTAGTAATACTATTCAAAATCGATCACCTTACCGGTTCTTTTAGCTGACTCACAGTATGCATTATAGCAGGTAAATTAACCCACCCGTCAACGCAAACAAACGAACTCATTCTCTATAGTAGGACGTGAGAAGCCGTGTGCACGCCGAAGTGTCTTGGCCCAAAGTATTAGAAACTCTTCCTCTTGGCCGAACCTGGTTACGGTCGTAATAGTCTCATACAAAGCACAGAAGAAGTTCATCTCTCTAACGATGTCGACAATGTACATGGAAACGGTTTCACTAAATGATGACGCGCCTGTCACGTCTTCCACGTCCTCTTCTTCAACCTTTTTGGACGTGGACACTCTGGAAGCTCAATTTGCTTCGTCATCGACTCAGGATGAAGCCGCGTCACTGGAAACCATCGTACCGGTATCAGACAGCAATGGTACCGGTAATAGTCAGAATGAAGACGGTATCATGGAGTCTCGAACTAGTCAGATAAACAAACAAAACGTGGATGATTCGGTCGTGGTTGACGTAAACACTGGACACAAGGATAGTAATGGATTTTCCAGTCAGAACAATGGTAAGAAGCACCATGTGCTACCTCCACTACGTATCTTAACGCAACATTTGGCTGTTGAGGAGAGAGATTACGTAGACACGACGTTATTCTCTCCTGACGTGTCAAGACATGCTATGGAAGTGGCCCATCGTCGTGCTAAAGCTCTTGCAACGGAGGTGAAAGAAATGATTGACTTGGAAGTTCACGTTGATGGAACTACAAATGCAACGACCAAAATGTCACCAGCTGAAGCAATGGGTATTATTGGTGGTGCCTTTGCCAATTCCTTGCAACGGGCCAAGAAGTTTGTCAAACCAGGAACAAAGGAATACGATCTATTGTCAGGAACATCTCCATTGGGAAGAACGTCGAAATTGGATGATCTTGACACAGACGGAGACGGATTACAGCTCTCACCTGATGCAATTCACAGCGATGGAAAACACTTTCGCGAAAAGTTAAAACCGGCGCTGAAACGCATCTCGGCTTACTCGAGTGCTGCTGCACTTGAGCCGGAAAAGACATGGAATACTCGACCACAGAAGAAAAAAAGTATCTTGTGGCACGAAGACGTGTTGGATGCTGATGAAGAGTTTTACGAAGATAATACTGATGGACAGGAGACGTGTTCGTTGATGAAACCGAACGAAGGTGCCGTCGGAAATGGCAACGGTAGCCCTCGATCTCAATTGCTAAACTACAACAGTAAAACTAATGGACAGCTTACGCCACGGAGTAGAAAGAAGCGCAAAAAAAAGTTGTTGAGATCTATGATGCGACGACTGACACCACGCGAGAAGGAGGAGCTGTACCGCCAGCGACCAGACCTGATGATTGTGCCAAACTGGGCGCAGAAGTATCGTGAGGAGATAACAGGTGAAGATTCAACTCGCTGGAATGCTTGGCTGCTTGGGCTAATCATGGTGCTGGCTGTGCTACTGTTGGTATTCCTTCTTCTCGTCGTGCGGCAACGTGCCGTCGCAGTGACGAGTTAGCATTAGGTCCCGGACCCCATTATAGAATGTGGGAATAGTTTGCTCCCATTTTGTGCTGCTTTTGTATTTGGATTGTCGACCTCTAACCTAGGGAACAGGTCTCGTATTCCCCTACAAGCTTCCAATAATATTTACTGGAACGTCATGAGGAAGCACTTGACTCTTACTGCTATCAAATAAAATACTGGCTCAAGACCTACATGTGAAATAGTCACTAAATGAGATGACTCGGACCAGTAAGAAAAAGAACGTTCAGGTGTATTTCTTGTTGGGGATTAAATTGTCGTCGTGCAAGAAGACGTCAAACTACAGCAGACCCCAAAGCTTCAGAGAGACCACTAGACACTGCACCCGTGTAAGGCCACCAAGAGCTCATTTAAGCCACAACACCGTAGATCAGTACTCTGTCCAAGTTGCTTCCGTCCGCCCCTAATCTCCTGTTCTACGTTTGCACCCCGTAAGCACCTAGTGGTGGCTATAGTCGAACTTGCCATTGATACGCTTCCAGTAGTTGCTCTTTTCCTTGTCTTCTTGAGTAGCGCCACGTGTAGGGAGAATACCACAGATCACCCAGGCAGCACTGTCGAGGGTAGCAGATAAATTACGGTAAGTAATATAAAACACGAATGGGAATTGTCTTTTTTTCCGGATGTTGCTAAACGTACACTCCACCAATGAGAAAAGGCTGAAAGTACTCGCGCTTGGACTCGTGCAGAATGAACTTAGTGTACGGAAGCTTGTGCCATCTAACGGCTTTCTTGGCAACGGCTGCAGTCATTGTGAAGTTTAAAGAGTCTCGTAACTTCTTTTGATTTAATGTGTGGTTTTTTATTAAACGAGAGGCCAAGAAGAAGAGGGGATGTCAAAGCCTCTTATACGAAATGAACGAGTTTACAAGGGAAAGAAATTAATTCTGACAGGTTTTTATAGTTTACAGAGTACTCGAAGACACTGCAAAATATAACATTGGAAAAGAAGGTGCTTTTGCTGAAACCCTGGCCAAGTTAAACAGGAATGTCTACTACAGTCCTGCTTTGATTTTCTCCCTGCTCCTGCAAACTTGTTACCTGAATGACGACCTTCAGCTGTAGCAAAAGCTCAAGAACCTGTAAACATTTAAACTGGATGCACATGCCAACTAAAGACGTTTGCTTTGATTTACCAGAAGAAATAGTCGCGCAAGTCCATTACGGATGTTAAAGCGGGATCTGTCAATTTGCAACGCCTGCAAGTGTATCTACCACCTGCTAAAGAACAGCTTAGTAGTCTTCATCACCGCCAAACATGTCCATGCCGCCACCCATGTCGATTTCCTCTTCTTCCTCAACAACCTTCTCTTCCACCTTGACATCTTCAGCACCTCCAGCAGCAGCACCGGAAGCAGCAGCAGCAGCACCTGAAGAAGGTCCTCCGGATGAAATAAGCTCCAGAATCTTTCCCTCCTTCGACAACAGCGAGGAAAACAAACTGGGCCAATAAAGCTCCACCTCATTACCCGATGCTTGTAAGACGTTCATTATCGCCTCAGAGGTAATCTCGTGCTCTCCATCAAAGAGGATCATTGACGCGTATGCGACACACAATTCATCGTGCTGTTCCTTGGTGATCGTCGACATTTCTTCCACTTGATGTGCTTTAGCTTTCGGCAAATAACTGGCCCGCTCTTTGTCTCGTAGTCTGGCTGTATTGGTTGGCGGCGAGCTGCTTTCAACCTGATTCCATCTTAAGTACGAGTGGTGGTGCATTGTACCCATATGGTGACTGCTACCAAGTAATTACATCTAATTTTTACTGCTGCAACCTTACAAAATTTATCCCATCGATTTATGTACACCACACGAACCGTCATTTCAACGGTTGAAGCGCGCTACCTCCACGTCTGGGACGGAAAAGACCGTCGCTATGCACGACATTAGCGACGTCACGAAAGTTTCCAGCAAGTGGGCGTCTCGTGCATCGTGTAATCCATTTATTGCTGCATCTACAGCCTCTTTGAATGCTGAAAACGGCTCAGAAACGACAACGTTATCGACAAATCAAGACGATAATGGGAAAGAGAACCGTATCCCGTCAAGTAGCCGCGATTGGAGACACTCAAACGTCACAATGATACGCACTACATTAACATCACGTTTAGAAGATGAATTGCTGCCTTCGTCACTGACTTTTGAGGCTTCCACGTCCTCTTCCTTGCTTGGAAAGCGTTCAAACCGGACCGAGACATCTACAGCTTCACAGAAACGTCTCTACGCGTTAAATGAGGATCAGGAACCTCATTATGATGAAGATCAAGACAGAAGAGATGCTCAGGCAATGGAAAATGCTGTGACGCACTTTGAAGCGCGAGCACTTGAGCTTCACGGCTCTTCATTAGGTCTGGACCTTAAAGAGGAAAAAGAAGAATCAGTCACACCAGACGCTGCTACAATGTTCGTAGATGACTTTAATCATGTGGGACAGCTGCACTTTGGTGCTGTGGCTCTCGGTGAGCGAAAACGCAGGCAATTGACATTAATAAACGCCAGTGAACTGGGCAATGCACGTGTAAAATATGAAGGATACATGATGGTCCGGGATGAAGACAGTCCATTGGCTAAAGCTACAACGATAAAGACGAGGTTCAAGTGTGATTTGCATCTTTGTGTGGTCGACGCTCTAAAGTCGATGACGCTTCGAGTGACGTTTGAACCGCTGCCGATGGATGTCGGACACCAAGTTACGGCTGTGCTCAAGTTTAAAGTAAATAACAGGTTTAGATTACAATGCAGAGCAACAGGGACAGTGACACCGCGTGTTCCACAGATGTCTAGTCTTGGACGCATGCGCCAATCAAAACAGATTGATGCTGTTGTGGTGCGAGCAAGTATGAAGCAAAACGTATCGCCTAGGGTGTCTCCAGTGAACATTAGAACGATGACCAGCAGGATCTCGTCAAAGACAAAAAACACCGCATTTTCACTTTCAAGTGATCTGCCTTTAAGCGACCTCGATGCCGAGCTGGAGCCTGTAGTCAAGATGAGGCCGCGGGTGGGAGACAAACGCAACTCGTCAGTGACGATTGAGCTCTCCCCACCACGAAATGGATTCAAACGAAGGAAAAGTGAGACACATGTGAGTATGCAAAAGACATTGACGCCACGAAAAAGTCTTGGTGCTACCCAGGAATATCTCTCGACGAAGAAGCCTTTTGCTGGATCTTGGTGGAAACAGCGCCAGGAGATATACGACGAGAACTGGATGGCAAAGCAAACTGAAGGTTTTACGAAATGGATGAATTACGTGCTGTTGGAAAGTACAGCCTTACGACTGAGCGGATGCAACGAACAAGGTGGCGCAGAGAAGCCAATTGCCGGAGCTAAACGCAGATTTGATTACTCGTCGTTACGCGTGCTTGCACAAAAGCGCATGGAGTCGAGTTGGGTACAATCTGCCGCAGAATTGTACCATTTGCCAAGTATGAATGATGTTTTGTATAAGCTGCAGGATGAGATTGGCAACCAGAGGTTGCGTTTTCGCGCGGACCGTCCTGTGTATGCTGATGTCGGATTGCAAGAGGATCTTCTTAGCTTACTGAATAACTATCATCCGGTTTGGCTCTGCCTAGGTTTATACGCTGTGCTTGGTCATCAAGTCATGACACAAGAAAAGTGCTCATTGCGAACTATATTCAGCTGCACTTGTGCAAAAACAACCATTTCGGGGATGAAAGACTCGTCACCAGACCGGAAAATGCCTCGTGTACTTCGCCGGATTATCTTGAAGCATCTGGTCAAAGACTCGCATGTCGCCCAGAATTATCGATTGGTGATGAATCTCATGACACCTCTAGATGGCTCCACTGCGGATCGCTATGATGGCGGCAATGCTTTTAAAAATACCAAGAAAAACATTAACGGGCGAGAGTACTTTGACTCGTTGACGCAGTCATTTATGCTTAAATTTTTCATGCTGGTGATTTTCTTGGATCGTGCAGTTGAGCATAAGGGAGAAAGGTTTGCACACTTTCCCTGTCTCTTTCGAATTATGCGATCGACCAAAAATACCATACCTGTTGAGAACCACAACAGCAACAAGCAACGTAACAGCGACGAAGGCAACGAATTGTGGGTGAAAAATTCGAAGGTGTTTTTGACCGAGTTCTGCAGACTGTTCTTGGCAAGCGAAGGTCGCATCGACAAGCATTTGGAACAGCTAGGCTACTCATTAAAGCATGAGCAGACAGCGTTGGACGAAATCGACCTGGAGATCAAGAGCTTAGAAACCGATCTGCGCGACGGCGTCCGACTTGCAAAGCTGATGGAAGCACTTACGGCATCTGCGTCCTCCTCGACAAGCATGACCCAAGGAAGTACTCTTAAGCCTAAGGGCTTATCAATGTTCTTGCGTGTTCCGGCTCTCTCGCGATTGCAAAAAATGCACAACGTCGAGATCTGCCTGCACTTCTTGCAAGACAAATGTGGCGCGAGCGTATTGGATGACCTCAAAAGCAGTAGCGAGACAGGTGAGAAACATAGATCAGCTGGACGTGTTCGTACATCTTCGTCCGGTTTTGCGGGTTTGCAAACTAAAGTAGATGCAAAAATGGTGGAAAATCTGGCCAAAGACATCGTAAATGGGCACCGCGAGAAGACCCTAGCCTTGCTGTGGAAGCTTGTCAGCTACTTCCAATTGCAATCTCTTGTGGACGCCCAAAGAATGAGACGGGAGATTATGAACGTCGTCAAGCGGATGAGTTTCCGTGCAAAAGAATTTTTCGATGTCCAACAGAAGAAAGTACCGCTTATTCACACTCATGATCACGAATGCTATGGGTTGTTGCTGGAGTGGTGCCGTGCTGTTTGTGCCAACTACGATGTAGTTGTGAATGACTTTTCTCAATCGTTTGCTGACGGAAAAGCGCTATGTCACCTGCTTCACTACTATCATCCGATGCTTCTATCAAAATCGGACATGCTGCCAACAACGAGTGATAGACCTAGTGGGGACGATCAGCAGACTAGCGAGAAAGCACTCTTAATGAACGAGCAGCGGCACTTTGCTATTATCAACGAACGCATCAAGCAGCTAGGGGAGGTTCCAGTGCTCATGCCTCAACAATACAACACGAACAACCCGCCGGATGAGAAGATGGTAGTAACGTTCGTGTGCTACTTGCAGTCACGTCTGATGGACTCATACAATGAGATTCACGCTGCGTCCAGATTGAAACGATGGTGGAAGAGCCCGTTGATCCGATTGCGAATGCATCGTAAAAAGAATCTCAGTGCACAAATTATTCAGCGGTTCTGGTACTCTTCCAGTCAGAAACGATTGGCGATTCGTCAGTGCCGTAAACTCTTACGAGCAGCACACATTGTAAAAAACAAAGTGCTAATTTGGGCGGCCAGAAGGCAATTCTTGTGCCTTCGGAAAGCTGTGGTTACCATACAGGCGGCATTCCGTGTTCGTCGGCAACTCCGCGTCAACGGACATTCGCTTGGTGCGATTCAAGTAATCCAGTATCATTGGCGGAAACACCTTCAACGGAGGCAACAGAAGGAACTGCAGGTACAGCAGGCTGTACGACGCAAGGTCGCACAGCGCGTTCTTGCGAAGACCAGCTGTGGTGTCATCGAGAGAAACTGGCTGCAGCATTTGTCTAGAGAAGGTGCTCGTCTTGTTCGACAGCAAATGATCGCTGACCGTCACGTGGCTGTTTCTCATATTCAAGTTGCTTGGCGACAAGGTCTTTTACGTGTCGCGGCACGGACGCACCGTGCGCAGATGTGGCGACGAGAGCATCATGCGGCACAAGTTATTCAAGTGACTTGGGGTACCTTTCACCGCCACCGAGAAGAGAGCAAGCGAATCCTTGCTCTGCAGCACTTTGAGCAATTGATGAAGACGGAAGAGCTTCAGAAGCGGCAAATGAAGCTGAAGCGGAAAGTGGAGACGCGTGCTGCCACCTGCGTCCAGAGATGCTTTCGTGAGTTTGTTTTCTGGAAGCGAGAAATAGCAGCGACTAAGCTCGCGAGTGCATTCCGAGGCGCAAAGCAGAAATTGCAATATCAAATGGCGAAATGTGCTGCTCTGGTCCTGCAGCGCAATGTCCGCGTGTGGCGCCGGAGGCGCCAGCTACGTGCGCTAACGCACTTCCACAGTTTGCTGAAAATCTACCAGCAAATGAAAGCAAACGAAGCCCATCGACGCGAGATGCAGCTCCAAGAACTCAAATGTAAGGTGGAAACGCGGGCCGCGCGCCACATCCAAAACGTGTACAGAAATTTTCGATTTCAGAAGCGAACGTTTGCTGCAACAAGAGCGCAGAGTGTTGTGCTAGCTTGGTTAGCCAGAAAATCATACATCCGTCTCCATCAGAGCGTGCGCTTGTTGCAAAAGAACATACGAATATGGCGCCGTCAAAAACAGCTCCAAGCGTTGCTGGCGTTCAGAAGCTTGCTTTTGCGGTATCGGCGCATGCAACAAGACGAGGAAGAACGGCAAGAACATATTCGCCAAAACTGTCTTCGACGCCTACAAGGATGTGTGGAACATCGTGCTGCGAACCGCATCCAGTCACTATATCGCTCTTACGCGTGTCATAAACGGATGCTTGCAGCGACTCTTATTCAAATAGTGTTCCGTGGCTTTAAAGAGAAACATCAATATGCCAAGAAACGTGCAAGTGTGGTGGTGATGCAGCACTCGATTCGCTCGTGGATGGTAGTGACGAAATTTCGACGAGCACTGTATCAGCACCGTGCATGTGTCGGCATTCAGAAATGCGTGCGTGGATGGCTTTCACGTCGTCGATTTAGCTTCTACGCCCTTCAGACGCAGCTGAAACGGATGCGTATGCTGATGTCGTGTTGGAAGATCGAACACTGGTACATCAACCGAATGATGAAGTACCGCAAGAAGCGCACGCTGATGATACGATCTCACTGGACGCGACTTGGCGCTGGTATTGTGCAGAAGCGTACTGCCGATGCAAACAAAATTGCGATGTGCTGGCGGTCATTCTGCTTCAAGAGTCTTATCAACGCACGAATTCAGCGAAGACGGCTTATGGATGATGCTGCCCAACGTATGCAGGTATGGTGGCTGGGACTCTGCTGCAAATGGGCAGAGCGTCAGCGGATGGAAGAGGCGAAGCGCCAGCGCGAAACGGAAGCGATGGCATTGGCTATGGCCAAGGCGCGCGCAGGGCATATGTTGGCACTGTGGCTCTACGAAAAGGTAATAATGCCCTCACGCGAGCGTAACTTCCACCTCATGGCAGTGCGGAAGCTTCAGGCGTGGTGGCGTGGTACTTTCGTTCGCTTGCACCGCAGCACCCCTGAGATTACTCGGCAACGCAAGAAGCTTTCAGCAATGAAATTGGTCGGGCAAGAGCGTTACACCAGTTCGGACACTTCATCGACCAGTCTGCATCAATTGAGGGTCAAATCGAACGAGGAGAGTAGCGTTCAGTCAGAGCAGCCGCAAACGTTGGGTGCACGATTGGATTTGGCCCTGCATATGCTACTTCACGGAAAGCGTCTACAGGACATGCTGTTTGCAAGCCATACCATTGAAGTCTGTACTCGGTACTCGCGTGAAAGCTGCCGCAAGTGCGTTCAGCTACAGATCTCGTCGACTATTTTTGCAGCCATTCGTGGTTTGAACCGCAGTCGCCCGCACGTGGAACTACTACACCAACTACTGCTCGTTCTGAGAAATTTGACGGTATATCGGCGGTCGGCTGATAAGAACAATCCGATGCGGGTGGTTGCTAGTGATGATGCCAACGGCCGACTCGACGTGGACTTGCGCGCTTTGGATACGCTGGTGGACTTGCTACACATTCATCGAGACATGCACCACATTTTCGTGCTGTCAGCGGATGTCATATCGTACTATTTCAAGTCATTGAAACCGCTGGCAGGTAGGAATGCTGGTGTGCAAGAGAGCTGGAGTGAAGCTGAAAAGCGGCTAGGCGGTTTGCAGGAGCTTTTATCAAGAAAGCTGGCACTATACAACGCGACGGCTTCGTTCCGACGCGTAAATCATATTCCCGACAAGAGCAGCGCGAACAACCTCATGAGGAAAATGAACCCGAAGACGGCCGTATCTATCATGCAGCAGCTCGTAATGCTGTTAGAACGGTAGGGAAGACCAGAATGAATGAAGCAATACGTACATGAACGGTATCATAATTGACATGACAACCATGAACTCAAATGGATGTCTTCCCAGTTATCATGAAGATTTAGAGCTGAAGGAAGCAAGAATGCATCTAGCAGAGATACTTGGCCTGGAACTGTACGTGGCACTTTCAAGTTCACATTAAAGTCACAGAGTCCATTAGACGAGCCAAAGAATCTCATAGAGGAATGAAAACTCCGTGCTAGAACATCTCAATCCGTGAATTGTGGCCATTCATTTTACTTCTTTCGATAGTCGACCTACTTGCTGTCCGTTTGGTTGGCTGATAGCGTCTCGTTCGTAACGGTTTTCAACGGCCGCTGTGCCAATTTGACAAGCATGCAAAAGTCCAGCAGAATACAAGTCGATAATTTGACAAGTCACAACAAACTAAATGAAGTGAATGTAATAGCGTTGGCTCGAGCTCTTGATGCTGGAAATGTGGATGTGGCGGTGCATTGGTTACAACTGCTACTGATGACTAGAGATCAATCGACTAAACGTAAGAAACCACTTGAAAATTCCAGAGGTCGACGATTGCAAACGCTTTGGAATGCAGTAAATCAAATGCTCAGTGATGATAAACGCCAAGAAGAAGATAGTTTGGTGCTTCGACCTGGCTTGGCATCGAGGAGTGCCAATGCGTCATGTGAATTGTCATATTCACAGTTGCAAATGTTTGCATTGCAAAAGCTACAGCCATCCAGCACGGCGTACAATGTGGTCCGCGCGTTGCAATTCAGTGATGTTCCGTTTGATTTGGCCGCGTTGAGAAACACCTGTGATGCTTTGATGGCAAAGCATGAGACTCTACGAACGTGCTTTGACGCCGATACTAATGCAGGAGGACACGAAAAACAAGTTGTACACCCGTTGTCGCATTTTCAAGATCAATTAGGTGTTTTCACTGTCATACCATGTGAAATGCTTGTGTCCGGTGGTAAAGAGGATGAAAATGACACGAAACTTGCTGCTTTTGTGGCAAAAACAATCGATAACGCGTTCGATTTGGCGCACCAGGCACCAATTCGAGTGTTTGCTTTTACTAGTCCGGATCGAAACGTTACCTCGCCTTGGATTCTTGCTGTGGTTTTGCATCATATCGTCACAGATGCAGCCTCCAGTCAGATATTTTGGAACGATCTCCACCAACTTTACGCACATTTCTTGTTTAGCAATGATGCAGAGACTACGACATCAGAATTTATAAAGCAGCTGGAAACAAACGCTTCTAGTGCTGCTCGCTTGACGTACAGAGATTTTTCCGTGTGGCAGCGATCACGAATGCGCTCTGGAATAACAGCACCGTTGTTACAGTATTGGCTGCAGCTATTAACAGACGATAGCGTACCTGACTTGCTTAAACTTCCCTTTGATGTTGGGCGATCGGACGAGATCGATTATGAGCCAAATGACGAACCTGCTGCACTAGAATCAACCACAACAAGAGGTGATGTGGTTGTCTTTCGAACATCTTCTGCGCTTCAAGAAGCATTTTCCAAGCTCTGTCATGCTCTAGGAGCAAGTATGTTCATGGGGCTTCTTGCAGTCTTCTACTTGCTGGTTGAGCGGTTATCAGGCCAGCAAGATTTCGTAATTGGCGCACCCTCGTCGGGACGTGAATCTACTGAACTACAAGACATCATGGGCTACTTTGTGAATACCCTTCCTCTGCGTATTGGTGCCAAATGTACTGGAAGCGAAGATTTTAAGGAATTCTTGGCATCTGTACGTAAGGTGGTGCTTGATGCGTACAACCATTCGGAAGTTCCCTTTCACCAGGTTTTGAAACACTTGCGCGCCTCGGCTCGCAGCGGTAGTGAGACTGATGGGGTCGATGTACGGCGGCGGTGGCAGCACCCACTTTTCCAGATCATGTTTTCGTGGGAAAAGTGGGACGAAGGTCCGAGTACAAACAAGTATGTCGAGATGACATTACCGCATCAATCTGCAAAGTTTGACCTCATGCTATCCATGCGGTATCGTCATCTCACGGGGGCCACAGAAGATCGTGTGCTGGAGGGATTGATGGAGTACCCTACGGCACGATTTACTCGAAATACTGTCGAACGCTTTACAGGATATTACTTAAAATTGCTGGAGCAGGTTACGACCACACCAACTGCCGTAGTGCGATCACCTGCTATTTCTATGCTTTCTGATCTCGAATGGAACCAGCTTGTCTCCACATGGGGAACGCCAAAGCCGCATAGAGCACTCAATGCCACTGCAATACCGAAGCCCGAATTTTTAGACGAATGTTTGTTTTCCCAAGTGCAGAAAACTCCACGTAATACTGCACTTCACTTCGAAGGCACGCAGTGGACATACCAAGACTTGTGGAACTATAGTGGGCGCATCAAAGATGCGCTATGTATGCTTGACATTTCTGGCAGTTGTGCGGAACTTCATATTGGATTGTTACTGGATAGAGGAATGGAAAATGTAGCAGCAATGGTAGGAATACTGCGTCTAAATGCAGTGTTTGTACCGCTTGACCCGGAATATCCACGCGAGCGTCTGCGCTTTATGGCCCGTGACAGTGGTCTTCAAGTGATCATCACACAACGAAAACATGAGAAGATTGCAACGTATATATCGGCAAGGGATTCAGAACACGGCGACGATCGTTCACAGCACATTTTGTGCTACGAAGATGTGGCCTTTATGCTGAAAGCTTTTGCTAGTGATCACAGGCATCTGAATAAGAACACACAACTGCTAGCACGAAAACCACGAGATTCTCACACAGCAATGGCGTACATCCTTTACACGTCTGGGGTAAGTCCATGTCTGGCATGTTCTCTCTCTTCATTTGCTGACCGGCACATTCTGCTGTATGTATGCTTTTCGTAGTCAACAGGCAATTCAAAAGGTGTAGTGGTCTCTCACGCTGCTTTATTGACGACTCTCTGGTGGACTGTGCGAACCTACGCGGTGACACAATCTGACGTGTTTCTCCAAAGCACATCAACGACTTTGGACGGCTCGTTGTCCCAGCTCTTCTCGCCTTTGTTCGTTGGAGGAAGCACTCGAATCACTCGACCAAAGGGTTTACACGAGTTACACTACATGCGAAACGTGCTTACTAACGAACCACACGTGACGTTTTGCGTGTTCGTGCCTTCATATTTTGCGTTGCTCGTAAATTTTCTAAGCGATCGAGGTGATTCATTTCCCGCTTCGATCAAACACGTCGTACTCGCCGGCGAGGTTTTTCCTATTGAATTGGCTCGCCAGTTTTACAGAAAGTTCAAAGAAAGCACGACATGTCTTGTCAACGAGTACGGACCGACCGAGGCGTCGATCACAACTACGGCTTTCCAGCTGCCTCGAGAACTAGCATTACACAAGAAAGCCAGCATACTTCGTGGATTGCAAAGCGTACCAATCGGAAAACCTATTGACGATCATCCAGTGATTGTGCTCGATACACAAAGACGACTCGTTCCGGTTAATGTTCACGGCGAACTGTACATTGGTGGAGCAGGTGTTGCGCAAGGGTATTGGAATCGTCCGGACCTGACTGAGAACGCATTCATTCTCCACAAGGATCTCGAGCAGATTTCGTCTCTAGCGCAGAGCTGCGAATGGCGATGGTACAAGACAGGGGACTTGGTCAAGTGGTTGCCAAGCGGTGATCTAGTTTTTCTCGGACGAACGGATGCACAAGTAAAACACCATGGCATGCGTATTGAATTGCAAGAAATACGCTCTGTTTTGCTGCGCCACTCAACTGTTAAGGCCGCTGAGGTACTTGCTATTCCCCATTTAAAATCTGCTGGTCGGATGCGGCAACAAAACTCCTTAACTCTTGTCGCCTTCGTTATGCTGGCCGACAACTTGAACAACCAAATTAGTGGAGGAGAGATTCCAGAAAAGCTGCACTTGTATCTTCATCAACACCTTCCGATTCATATGGTGCCTCGAACAATTCAAGCTGTGAGTTGCTGGCCACGCACACCGAATGGGAAAATCGATCTTCGTACACTTGCAACTTGGGCTGATACTAACTCGGACAATAGTGGAGAACATACGCACGATACCAGCAATGGGATCGCTATCACCGTGCAATTAGCTACGGACATCTTGCGTCAGGTTTGGATGCAAGCTCTCGGAATTGACCACCTCGACGATGACGAAGATATTGACATCGACCAGCGTGAGAAACGATTAATGTCTCGATCCTTCTTTGAACTGGGTGGTGATTCTCTGACAGCTATTCGAGCTATTGCTCTTGCACAAGCACGAGGATTACCACTTGCTCTCGAGCAATTCTTTCGCTCATCATCACTTTGTGAAATGGCAAAGACCGCAGCAGACTCCATGGTGAATTTGCGAGAATGGACCTCAGAGACACTGGTTCCACTCAATTGGCCCTCGACGACGTCGTCTGCCGCAATGCCGACACTTTTCTTATTCCATGACGCAGTGGGCACTGTCTGGAAATTGTTGGAGTTGGCACGGCATCTGCCATATCCTGTCATTGGTGTACAAGCAGCTGCATTTCTAGATGATAACCTCCAGTCAACCAAAGCTCAACCATCCAACGTGGAAGAACTAGCAAAAATGTACTGGGACATTATTCGTGAACGGCAAAGTGTAGGTCCCTATGCTTTTGGCGGGTTCTCATTTGGCTGTCGGGTAGCCCATGAGGTAGCACGATTAGCAGTTCATGATGGACACACGATTTTGTCCGTCATTCTGATAGATGGACTTCCTTTCGAAATGCCATCTGCTCAGCAGCAAATGACCAAGGCACAAAAAGCAGCGGCTCAGATCCAGATTGACGAGTATGTCACCGAAGCCTTCAGTGACTCGCTATTACGGTCATTGGGGGTCACCTATCGTAAATTTTGTTCGATGGAAGATACCTATGAACCATACACGGGTGCTGAAATGAAGACAACTTGCTCCAAATCTGACCCATCCATTTGGCTTCATGCTGATCTGTACATGACTCAGCACTGGCAAGCAGACGTTTCAAAGTATCGATCACTTGGCATTGACATTACAATTGTGGCTATCATACCGAATTGCACCCATTTCACAATGTTGCGCCATCCCGCTGTTAACCTCATTTCTCGGCAGATCCGACACCGTACAAGACTGGCATTAATGGGTCTTAGAACCTTTGAATGACTCATAAACGAAAACACCTTGCCAACGTCTATGAAGAAGGAAGCACTGGTGTTTTGATGAAAAGCTGAGATCATTTCCTGCATTCAGTGTATGCTATGCTTACCTTCCAATAACGGAGGGATTAGTAATAGATCTCTAGAGATCTAGAAACAAGTTTCTGGTCTTGCCAACGTGTAGAAGACCTAAAAAATACTGTTAGCAATCTCTTCTTAAAGGCTCAAGTCGGTTCGAGTCAATACAGCGTGGCCGATTAATTTCACCTCTTGTCATTGACTGCTTCTTCACGTGTCCGTCAAAGACTGGATCGCAAGCGAAACTAACAACTGAAAAACCGAATTCAACGTGTGTAAATGTCGTGTCGCTTTGGGACATATGGTAGTGGCAGCATCACAGTGGCCTTCATCATGGGCAAAGTGTCACGTCCCAGAAATAGGCCTTAAAATATTCATCTTAGACATTGATTCTCTAGAACCATGTCCATCTTTAACTGTCAGCATGACACGAAGCAGCCTTTTTTCTTGATATTCGTAGAAAGTTGGTGTAGTTGTTGCACTTGTTGCAAAGTAGGTAGAAAAAAGTAAACTATACTTGTAAGGGGTTACGCAACGCTGGATAATTATATTGAGCATGACGTCACGGTTGTAAGCCATAGATATTGTATAGCCTTTAACGAGGTATTAAGTGTGGGCGTTAAGGCATGGTGTCGGTCAAGCCGTACCATATCGGTTATGGTTTGATAATCGATATCACCCGTGCTAAGTACATCATACGCAGATGTTTGTCATCCAATGCAGAAGCCTGCATATTATAAATTGATCATTACGGTTACTGTTACAGTAATTAATTTCGTGTAGGGTACTAAGGGTAGGTTTATTCCTATAGAATGCTATGGCCATAGACGTTAAAACTACGGCCACATACAAAAACTACTAGGGCAACCTTGAATTGAACTCATCATCGCTTTTTGATGTGTAGCGGGGCTAGAGCTCCGTTACTTACACACACTATAAGTCTTACGAGGAAGCGTAAGAGAGCGCGCAAATAACTAGTGCGCTCAAGGTAAATTTCAACTCTGATTTTATATATATTTGTTTGTATTTTTAACTAAGTACGACTGATTCTTAAAAACGCATGGGATCCACGCCACTACAGATCCCTTCTCCTATTGTAGAAGGGCACTTCTACGAAGTTGCCTCGTACTACGAGCACACACCTTATGCACAAGCGAGGAAGCGGTTAGACCGTCTTACCTTCGCGTGCGAGGGTGATTGGGAGGTTGGTCGACTGCTTAAGTGTAACGGGGTAAGCCCGTTACATAATATAGACACTTATATGAAGTGTCAATAAAAATATTATTATAACTAATAATATTTGACAGTATTATCTTTTCATATAATATTGTTCCTAGATCTCCTTGAAGTTGGAGATGCCCTCTCATTGGTTGATATGGGCCATCATATCAACCAACGCGCTGACCAATGACCGATGGACGCGCGCAATGAGTGGAGGGCAAGTTGTCAACACACATAGTTGTAGTTTAATATAGTTAACATAGGTTATAACAGATTAGTTTATAGATAGTTAACTATATTAAATACAGTTTTCTTTTCCCTCTCAACTAAGCGTTTGTTTAGTTGATTCCCTTCCTCTGCTCACGTGTACGTGAGGTAATTGAGGCACCTGCTTTCACTGTCATCAGTAAAGGTAGACTATACTGTTATCAGTATAGTCGGAGGGTGCCCCATTACACCTGGTAGCACTTCGTGGTCCGTTCAGCGACCACCGCACCATCCGCTATGGAATCAGCGGGTGATGAACGTCATCACGCAACGCGTGATGATTTCCGCCATTTGAGTGACCTCGAATGGAATGCAGTTCAGATTATGGCTGAAACCATCGGCAATCTTGTCGTTGGTGCTTGTTGCTCTCTCTTAGCGGAGACGACCAACATGCAACCATCGCCAAGTTCATACAACATGAACTTGACGAAGTCGTAAAGAAACTCACCTTGCTAGAGGAGCAAGGTTCTCAACAGGTTGAACTGTTGAGAGAACAAGGCGCTCAACAATCTGACTTGTTGATGCAGCAGGGTGCTTAACAGTCTGAACTGTTGAGACAACAGCAGGCTAGTGCTGTTGCTGCCGGGCGACGTATACACGTCGACCCGAGTCCTTGAAGATTGATGTCTCCTAGTACAAGGCAGTCGAAAGCGACTCCTTGTTGAGATGGTTCGTCGAGCTCGACGATGCCATTGAGGCTCGTCGCATCGATGACGATGCGATGAAGGTCAAGTTCGCCATGTCGAACTTGGCAGGACGTGGGAAAGCTTGGGCCTTAGGGCTCAAACCGCACGACCCATACATTTTCCCAACGTATGACGTCTTCAAGGCGCGGCTCAAACACACGTTTGAACCGCCTCGCGCCGAATTCAGGGCTCGGGCTGAGATCCTGGATTTGAAACAGGGTAAGCGTGATATACACGCTTAAGCCCAACACGTACGATACCTCGTTAGCTGTATCGTACTGAACCCAATCGATGAACAAACGCAGGTTACTGTGTTAATCAAGGGTCTGATAGATGGTCCTGTCAAGACCCACCTGTTCCGCTTGGAACTAGAATCGCTGGATCAAGCGATCTCTGCAGCGGAACAGGAGGACTTTATCCTACAACAGGCTCACGTCCACTCGGGATCCTATCGTCCACCGAGACGACAGGAGGGCGGAGGTCCAAAACCAATGGACCTCTCCTATGTAGAGAGCGAGCGACCTCGCTCTCCAGGGTACAAGCGATTGCAAAAGTGCAATCGCTGTCAGAAGTTGGGCCACTACGCTTATGAGTGTAGTGCCTCACGCCCAGTGTCTCGTAACACTGGGAGTGACGATCGACCGTCTGCCAAGAAGGGCCAGAGACGTGGGTCCCACGTTGCTGCGAAATCGCAACAACGTGGTGGACCATCAAAAAACGGTCGGGGTCAGTAGGGGCGGAGCGCCCTACTGATCCAGCAACGTCAAGAGAGTTCGCGGGACTCTTGACGAAGGTTGCTCCCAACACACAGTCACTGTGTGTTGCCGCTCCCAGTGATGAGGTATCCCTCATCACATTGAAGATCAAAGTGACAAAGAAAATGTCACTTCGCGCCCTAGTTGATTGTGGGGCTTCGAACAACTTTGTTCGACGCCAATCGCTAGATGATCGTAGGCTCAAATATGTTGAGCGTGAGACCCCTCCAACGAGGATGACGGTGCGCCTTGCAACTAGCGCATCCGTAACAGTAAAGAAACGTGTAGTGGGAATTCACTACACGCTTGAAGGCAAAAAGTACGATGATGATTTCATCGTACTTGACCTGAATGACAAATATGATGTCATCCTAGGATTACCATGGCTCAGAAGGTACGAGTCATGGGTCAGCTGGCAGCATCGAACCATGAAGATGCCTGCCGCTTGTTCATCAGATGGTCATCTGATGAACGTCTTGGAGCGTTCACAAGCGTGTGAATGTACAACGAGTGAGTGTGATGGCCTCACTTGTGGTTCGGTCGTTAGTACGACTGCACAAGAACTCAGCGTGACAGACAGTCACGCTGTGGAGCAAGCTGCCGGCGGCTGTGCACAAGCACAGGCAGCGCCGAAGGTTCACCACTTAAATTAATTCGAGTGGACTGGGACATGAATGCTCGCCTAGAGGGCAGCATTCACCGAAGAGTAAACCGGTTGCCCAGAAGCGGCAACTCGGTAATCCTAGATCAACTGGAGAGTTGATCGTAGAGGATCTCGCTGTGGTTGCGCCACCACAGCTAGAGGAAGTCGATGGAACAAGTTCCATCGAGCCTGTGGGAATAAGTCCCCAGGAAGTAACCGAGACGTTGAGCGTCTTGGTTAATGATAGATCAAACGTAGGCGCTTATACGCTTGATCTGATCGCGCCTCCGAAATTAACTTCAGAGATAACTCCGTTGCCTACGCTAGAACCTAAAAGGTTCTTGCGTGGTCTGCGTAGTGGAAAAGTCAAGCAGATCTGTGTGCTCGTCGCAGAAGACGAGTACATGACTCACATTCGGTCAGCAACAGTTTTTGCCGAGAACGAACGGTTTCTCAGCAGCTCATCAATGATGAAAGTGTCCTTGATGAAAAGACTCGGATTGAGCGATATACATCGCAATCCTGGGAGTCACTGAAGTCAAATTTTTTGTACAAGGATTTGGTCGAATTCAAGGATGTATTCCCTGAATCCGTTCCGTGCGAGTTACCTAAGGATAAAGGTACTCGACACGAGATCGACCTTGTTCCTGGCACAAAATATTGTGTGGCCACTGCCTCGGGAACAGGTCGAGGCGATCGACAAGTTCTTTGCCGATCGCCTAGCAGCGGGCCATGTGAGGGAGTCAACTTCACCTCACAGCTCTCCGACTTTCTGTGTGCGCAAGGCCACAGGAGGGTGGCGGATAGTGCAAGCGTTCAATAAGTTGAACGCTGCAACGATACCGGCGCAAACGCCGATACCGAGAAAGGACGTAATCATAGATGGTATGTCTAAGAGTACCATTTTTTCGTCCATGGATCTGATGGATGGTTTCTATCAGATCCTAATGCGTGAACGAGACATCCCGTACACAGCAGTGAGCACTCCCAGTGGTATGCTCTGGGAATGGTTGGTGATGCCGCAAGGGCTTAGTAATGCACCAGCCACATTCAATAGATGTGTTTCACATCTATTGATACCGGTGCGCGAATTCGCACCGAGTTACTTCGATGATGTGTTCGTCCATAGTCGAGCTATGGACGGAAAAAAAGCCGTGGAAGTCCATAGACTCCACGTCCGTAAGGTTCTTACACTTATGCGAGAGCATAAGTCGTACGCCAACCTCAAGAAGTGTATATTCACAGCTAGCGAAATACCGCTTCTTGGGTGCATCGTCGGAAAGAACGGCGTACGCCCTGATCCAGAAAAGATCAAGGCGATCACCGACTTGCCATTCCAGTCGATGTCAAGGGACTA